AGTATAGAACAAAACCCGACGACTCTCACTAGACAAAAACAAAAAAAACAAAACAAAACAAAAAAAAACTGGGATTGAGAGTAGAAGGCACAAACCCCAAGAGGTGGTTATATGGACACCCGTCTAAAGGACATGTAGCGGTCTCCGCCATCTACTCTGAAGCCACTGTAAATTAACTGATCAACTTCAGGTGTCCATGAAGGCCCTGCTTGGGGCCGTGCCCAAAGTATATAACAAACATGTTCAGGTAATTGAATGGATGCGGGTTGCATCTATCTAGGCTTATCCAGCATTTTCTTTGAGAGTCTTTATGTGCTGATATTAGTGGACAAATCAACATCCAGAACATTGATTCCAAACACGTTTGCTGTTCGTGCCCCCCAAATCACTCACTGCACAAGCTGGTACAAGTACACTCTGAGTACATTGCTGCTCAAGCAGTCGTGTGTCGACCCTTGCCTGCTTGTAGCCTGAGCCGGTTCTGGAAACAATTACGCAGGAGGGTATGTTAGTGAGATAAGTCTTTGCGCTTTTGAATGCCTATATACAATTATAAGCAAAAACCATCATGATATATCATGATGAAACATGACCCGGTCTAGTAAACAGCTGTCTTCCAGCGGTCCATGTAAAATTTCCGAATTGGTACCCAACTTTGGGTGTGGTCCCGCTACCTTCATGAACAAACTCATCCAGTCTCCCACCCTTCAAGAAAAGAAACACTTGCTTTCTTCACCTTTTCTTCACCTGTTCCCCCTTACGTGGAGATTCTTTTGCGAACCAACCAACGGTGGCTTTGTTGAATCACCACTGACATAGCCTTCACCGTGCCCTTCAGTGTTCGGTGGTGCCAGTCCCCGGCGTGTTCGTTGGATGAAACAACGGTGCCGCAACGTGTCTGCTTCAAAAATGCCGGTTTTCATGGTCCAGGAGTCCAGGATTACACTGTGAACACATCACATGGAAGTGGAACATGGAGTCTCGGCTCTACAAACAGTGGGGCCATCCACTTCCACTGTGAGTGAGTAGGAGGGTATCTGCTCCTATTTTAGTGTCACGATGTGTCATGCTTTGCAGCCAGGAACTCGCGAGGATCTGCTGCAGCTGCTGGAACAATTGCGGAGGAGGCGGGCACAAAGATGCAATAGCACCTGACAAGGGGGAGTTCAAACAATGAGGGACAGACTTTTCCCAGCTCAATGATTTGTTCACTACTTCATAAGCAAACCTATATATATATATATAGATCCAAAAGCTTGCAGCAAGGTAGACGAACCCCGGGTTCTTCATATAGTGGAAATGCCGGGGAGCTGGGAACAATCCCACTTCCCACCATGTCGCTTCCCAATGCCACGTCGTGAGGCCTCTGGTGACAGCAAATATGGCATTCCCACGTCCATCCCACGTCGCAAACACAGCTACAGTGTTACAGTGTTGGATCTTGGTGACCGCCAAAATTAGTATATTGTTTATAATATATATATATATACCCTAGAAGTCCAAAGACTGTTTTAGGCACTACCCAAGGAAAGGAAGTTCCTTTTCGGATCACCTAAAGACCGTTTAAAGAATGGCCTTGGACTCAACGGATTAGGGGGGCTTGGAGGGCATCCATACTTTGACACACAACCACAGCCAAAGTTGGATGAACCAGGTTATATTGGCTGTCCTCCCATGCAACATCACGGTCCCGCACCACTCGCTGGTGTTCTTGACCGCTGCAATTGAGGTCCTCAGTCTTTGACACATTGCTTAACTACATATGTTTAAGAACCATCTCAAATATGTTGAACTTTGTGGCCCGGTACCGTTCAGTCGTCACCACAGTTTGGAGCTTGAAAAAATGAGGATCCAGGTCGGGCAGAAGATCATTCATATTACAAGAAAAAGGGGTACCCGATACGCCCAAGCAAAAACACCACGCAAACAACGACCCAGTCCGGCTTTTGTCGCTCCCAGTCCTGCTCTCTCGCTTCGTGAACAAGAGACACTGCACAAGCTCTCCGAGCGGGCGAGAGGTCGGAAAAACTTCGGTGCCTGCAACCTCCACCGGGTAGCTGAGAGCGACCTCCGCTGTAGCGACCAAGGTCGAAGCCGGGCAGAGTCGAATTCTGTGTCCGGGGTTCCAGGGCCTTTGTCGAAGTAGAGCCAGGTTGTTGGATTCACATGAATCTAGTACTGAGTGATGAAACAACTGGATATGCACTATTTCATCCTATTATCCACATAAATACTGGGATCCAAATACTGAGTAACTGATATCAGCTGAGTAACCACAGCCAAACTGGTGATAAGGCAGCTTTACCACCGTTTGAGCTCACTACCTCTTAGATGGGTTGGAGTCCACGTTCAGTTGCCTGCCTCCTCTGCTTAAACGCTGTTCGCACTTAGCTTCGGAGGTGTTGCTACGACCTAGGAGGATTTGTACGGGTTTTCTTTCAGTCTCCGGTGTTCAAACACGAGTGGTTGACGGAGACGTCAATTCAACGGAAGATACGGAAGAGCGATTGAAACGCAGTTCCAACGCCGCATGAAACGCCAGGGCTCGGCGACCCGCCTGTGGGCTGGCATTCACCATGTTGCAGAAGCCCTGAGCGCCAAAGGCACACTTTTTCGTGGAACTGGCCTGATATGGCCCGAACACAATCCAAAAGGTCCAGGACTTACTTTTGCGCTCCCAAAAGCTGCAACCTCGGGGACAAGCTGATCCGCTCGAGGACCATCGAGCGGCTCGACTTTCACCAGCTTTTTGGGCTCCGAGATTCGAGGACGGGCCTGTCATGATCGTTGCTTAACGACCGGACCTGTCTGAGTCGCACCTACCTGAAAAAATCACTATGTAACTATAGCATTAGCTATATACTGTCTAAGAACCCCCCACAAAACCCCACTTCTGGGCATTTACCGGAAGAAACAACAACTATTGGTCGACAGGGTGAGCTCCCATGCCGGCATTCAGCGGCTCACTCCCTCGTCTCCAGCCTGGAATGCGGTCACCTTCTCCTGGTCAATGCGGACGTCCTGGAGAGAGCGGAAGGCGGAAGGGTCGTCAGTCGCTCACGTCTCTCCCGGTTCCATGTGGAGACGAGATGTGACGATGTGCACCAGTTGAACACCAAGAGATGCTACGAAATAATGCATGCCTTCAGCACCAAGATAACAAAGACATGAAGGACATTGAAGGACAACGTCTAGGATCTTGTAGTCTTCTATACATGATTTTGTTGGCTTTTCTGGTCCGCTTATGGATCTAAGGGCTTTTATCATTGAAGTGGACTATGACACCCCAAACCACCCACCCAATACCAAATCCTGATCAAAGAGACCCTTGGCAAAGGACCCTAGCCTTCCGCTAGGCCATGCTTCAACGGAAAATCACAGCAACTCCAGCGACAGCACGTTTTCCGGCGCAAAGACCATCAATCAAGCAACCAGGACGGTCACACGAAGACTTAAAACAACCTGGCAGTGCATTTGGTGCCCACGGTGCTTCATCTACGGGATTGATCATAGCATCAATTGGGCCCGAACTGAACTAACATCCACTTCCAAACCTCCTCACTCCGGGAATTTTCACTCGGAAGTCGGGCAGGAACCTGCCGACTGAAATTTGAGTCTGCTTCAAGAAACATTGCTTTGAAGTTGCTGAGACCTTTCCTATGTGGGAAAGCAAACCAGTATGATGGATGAGGCAAACCTCTTCATGGTCTGTCCTAGTTGCTCTTTGTGGCTAACTTAAAGTGTAGCTTTGAACAAGCGAGCCAGTGCACGCCACCAAACATTTGCAATTCTCTGGTCAGGAGAGAAGGATTGTGTTCTGTTAAATTGTGTTGCCTGACTGAATACACAGGATCTGAGTTTGTAAAGGCCATGCTTGAGCAATCTGTTGAAAAACTGAAGGTTGTAGAGAGAATTCCTGTGCACAACATCTTGCAATTGTTCAAACCCTCCGTACCTTCTCTGACGCTGCTTTCTTCGGATTGACAGGTTCCAGCAACCAGAAAGCAACCACTGGGCATATTCTCAGGCTTAGCAATGCATCTGCAACGAGTGTGCAGGTCCACAAAACGTCTTGTAGGATCCTCATGGGATGGTGTATGGGTAAGTGGAAAGTACTACGGAAAACAAAAGTCCAGAAATCAAATGCAGCTCTCAAAGAATTCCACAAACCCCTGCCCCTGAAGAGGATCCTAACATCATACAAAAAACACCATGCAAGTGGAGACTCCAAGTATGGCTTCAAGTATGACCCAGTAGATCTGGGAGATCGACCATGAATGGTTGCCTACGACTGTGGTGACTCTGCAGTGCAACATATTGCTATATATTTATCCAATGCGCTAGGGCTATTGAAGCGTCTTACTCACTGTGAACAAAGTAGAAAATATCTTACACAGTTGTGACCTGTAAAAGTTGAGAATTGGTTGCCTGTCTGCTTAGGGGGCTCAAGCAGGTTCTGCATGTTGGCAAAACAAACAACAATAATATCCAAGGAACCTGATCACTTGGTCCTTACTCACAATATCTTGGTTTTGGTGCCCAGCTGAGCGTGACAAAGTTAATTATATTAAATTATAAGTATGTTTGTTTGATGCACCCTCTAGGACAACTAAATCAAGCTGCAAGCAGCTGCAAGCAGCTGCAGGCAGCTGTGAGCCCGAGGCCTGACCGCTGGCCTGACTGCGGCTGCTAGATGCCTAAAATTACTAACCACCCATACTGCTGCCCAATGCAGAATGAAGCAGTCGAACCAAAACTGCAGCAAGAAGGACTGCTGCCGTAGAAAGTACTTTTGTTGATCAATCGCACATTTCTGCTTTAAGATTCAATGAGCTGCTTACACCTACTTGTTTTCACCATGAAGTCCCATGTTGAAGATCAAGCAATATCAAACACAAATATGGTATGATTGAAATTCTGAAACAAACACTTCCCAAAGGAAAAAAATAAATTGTATGTTGTCTCAAACAAAACTACCTTTATAAGACCATAATATCACCGGCCAGCTCAATGCGTCAACCCACAAGTATCGATGAAGGCCAAACTCTGCCATCGAGCCCTCCACAGTCTACGGCAGCTCAGTCCACGAGGCGGCCCACTTCCTCCGAGCAGACTGGGTGAACCATCAAGAAACCACTCAGAAAGATCAAACAAGCACAATCCCCACGGCCCCACTGCAGTGTTGTTAATTAATCCCCACTGCTTTTCACCAGTTGTTGGTGTCCTAAACTCATGTTTCTCCGAACCGGTGGTCGAAACTTATAAACCTCTGACTCTGATGGGAGGTGTCCGTCAATCAACTCAGCTGGCGCGCCCCTGTGTCTCTTCCAAATCATGTACAGTACTGAACATTGGATGGAAATGATGTTTGCAGTGGAAACTCATCTTTAAAAAAAATGCAAACCATTCTTCTTTGCATCGCAACAAACCGAGGATATTCGAGGATCTGTTTTGATCCATCTATATAGGTTCAAATGGCCAATTCAGGCTAATCTGGTCCTCAATTCCATCGAACGGTCGTCTCGACTTTTTGGTCCCGGCATTCCATCGACCGGTTGGTCGAAGCGTCGTTGGTGTCACCCGGTCACCTGGGGTCTCGGAGCGCTTCCCTTCGGTCCTCCAGGGTGATTTCTGACACCTTGCCTTTCCGCTCAGCACTGATGACCTGGCACCGAAGGCAGCAGAAGGCATGGCATGTTTTGGGGCAGCCTGGGAGAACCCTCTGGCGCATGAATGGCGCATCTTCCTATTCTAAGACTAAGACACACACATATGGATAGAAAGTAAGGCTAAGTAAGGACAACCCTGACAAGTTCATCTTTCTCCTTCGTCAATCTAAATGTGGATGTCTGTTCTGGAGGATGCAAGTGTTCCATATTCCGATGTTTGGGTGATTTACGAATAAATGACCGTGAATATTTCAAGTTGGGCACCTTGAGCTGAGTTCCAGGTGCCAGCAAGCTCTCCTGGCCGAGGACGCGTTCATGACGCTCTGACTTGTTGAATTAATCATTTTTGAGATCACATGAGATCACACAAATCTATCATTTGGACTTATCTAAGCATGGTTCACCTCTCCAATCAAACAAGGAATCAAATTTTAGGTTAGTAGCTTAGCAGTGGTTCCCGAGCTGTTGATTGACAATTTCCCTTTTTTTGGGGCTCCTGGCCCGGTCCCAGCCAGTAGCATGCCGTACTTCACTGGTATCCTGATTGCCAGAGGAGTCCTCCAAGGACCCCTGCAACGCTGGAAGAACATGAGCTGCTCCTTCTCGTTGCCGTAGAAGGTGATCTTCGAAATATCCACCGCGCTCTTGGTATTCACGGTCAAGAAGCTACAGGCCGTGCCGCAGCCCTTCATGAAGTTCTTTGCCACCTGCAGGCGGAGTCACTGAAAACTCGTCCGGACTGCGGCTAAAACTGGAACATAGTGGAACACGGGTAACTCAGATTGCATAAGCAAAACATATGGCAAGAACCTAGAGTTCCAGAGCCACATTGAGACCCACTTTGAATGAACCGTTGCCCTTGAACTGACCAGAACACATAATTCGTTAGGTTTGACATTCAGGTGCGAACAAAGCACCTGCAACTGAAGACTATGACATGTTCTGCAACGGAGATGGTCGCCGGCCAACCCTGGCAAATCCCTGGAGCTGTGAGTGTGTGGCGCTTTCCAAGTATTGCCAAATGACAGTGAATGCCATGATTTCCCAAAGCAAGGCTCCAAACACACCCCAAGAGTCCAGTCGAGTGAAATCAATTCAACAACTTGCTCATCCGGAGAAACAACGACAGTCCAATCGACAGTACTTAGGTATTGCACTGGGCCGTCCGCGACCGTCGGCGACAGTGGTCCAACTTGCGCAGCCATGTGCTGATGTATGAGTGATTGGCGATGGGGGCCTGCCACTGATATAACAATTACAATATATTATACTAGCTATAATATGGCATGACATAATATGGCTTATATATGCATATATATATGTGTTATTTTTGTGTGTGTCTTACTCTTGCCGCTATATTGTATTGTGTAACATGTTTGACCCTTACTTTGTTGGGGCAATTCCAACCAAACTCAATCCACTGGCCACCCAATTCTCGGAGGCATCTTCCCAGATTCGCCTCACACATGGCGCGCCTGCACGTCCGAGGTACAACTGCTCACGCCCCACCAGGTGATGGTAGAGCCCTGGGTAGCACGGCAGCAGTACATCGAATCGCTTCAATCCGGGATCCATACACCAAGCACACCGCGTGCGCACTTAATACCTAAAGTATATCCGATGACCGGTAGTGGTGGATGATGATCGTTAGTAGCTAGCTTGCCAACTGTTACTGGTAATCGGACCCAATCTACAAACACCCATAAATTGACTTGTCTTGAACTTAGCAGCCTGGGAGCGATGCAATTGCGTTCGAACCGTAAAAGCATGGTGGGACAGGCTGTCATTCGGAACATGGTGATTTTGCCACTCAGTCGCACCTGTTTTGCAGCTCCAAATGTCATGAAGCCGACACTGTCAAAGCCAAGTGGCCTTAGAATACTGATCATACAAGTCGACGCCAATGCCACGCCAAAGCGTCCTGGAGTAAACTTTAGTGGTGGTGGTCAGTGGTGGTCTCAATAGCAGGATGTAGCAGGGATACATCCAGCAGAGAGCTCTAGAGAACTGTAGAGGAAAGTAGATAGCTTCGAACAAGTAGCCTCCAAATGACTTGAAGAGCACGCAAATGAAAAGAAGTGTTGTATAATATTGTATATACATGTTGTCTATCGTTTTCGATGGGCTGGGAAACCAATGATTCCGGGAAAGCAACCGATAAAGGGCGAGAACTGCAACTGTTTACATCAATTTACATCTATTGTCACACCGACACATTCGTTGCATGCTGTCAATCCTTTTCAACAACTGAATGTGGGCCAAACACACCGCTATTTCGCGATATGTGGGTCAAGGCTAGGCCGTTCTGTGTTCTTCAAATTCGCTCTGGGTCGTTTCAGGTCCTCTTCTGCTGCGGCAAGCGATTCAAAGCCTCAAAGAGCAACCTGCAAGGCGCCACGTTTCGCAGTCCTTCGGCCGAGGTGTCGGGCCCTCGGCATCTCCGACGACTGACATCGAGGCGACACACCGCTGGGAGCGGCGTTGGTCGACCCAAAGTACCAAGTCATATAGTTGCTCAACAGGGTGGGTCTGATCCCCGTCCTCTTCGCGTCTCTCCCGAACTGGGCCAACGGGCTCGATCGGTCCCAGCCGCACCTGAGGTAAGGCTTGTACTTCTTGATCTTGTTTCGATCTTCGCCTTGGCTCGAACTTGCTAGAGGTGTGCAAACGGACAAGGAACGTTAGTTTAATCATGCTGGAAAGCCAAATGCTCAAAAATGCCCGATCATTATGGAAAACAAACGTAAAGTTCTATTTTGTCCAAACACTGGTTTTACCCGCAATGACCGAAAAATGGTCAAACCATGTCAAATCTTATGGCAGGCCTACCCGTAATTAACAAAAGCGTATGTTTTCCACAACATGTTGAACAACAACTGAACAAACACCGTAGCAGCTCTCCCACAAGTGGCTGCAAATAATCAAAGCGGTGATGACCAAAAACATGGTCAAGGCCGTTTGACCACCAAAAAAAAACAAAAAAGGTATCATGGCTATCCAGGATGTTAGTTATTTGCCTTTTGCAGGGTCCTACACAATTACCGATGTGTTTCTTTTTGAGGAACTTTCTTGGATCGGAAGCCAGCTTTTTGAGACAACCGTCTCCAAGAAAAAAACTGTTTCCTACCGACCTCTCCGGGCCGCTGCGGAGCGCCGCATTCAGCTGGCGATAGATGGCGTTGGAGGTGTACAGCATGAGCGCGCCGTACAAATGCGGCTCCTCAGCCGGTGGTCGAAGGTCAGTGGAACAATCAAATCATGTTTTGGGGCGGAGTAGCGCAACTAAGACACTTTGAGCTGTGAGGGGGAGGGCCAGTCGCAAACTGCGATGGGAAGCCTCTTGTGCTTTAGGATTCAAATGGATTCAGTCTTCCTCACTGCCTTTCTCCCCATTCAATTCCTCCCATTACTTGTGTCAATAATAAGATCAAAAAATTCTGCAAACACCCAAACCATCCCTAAGTGTGTGCTGAATTCTCCAGAAACCACTCCAGATCCTCCTCTGCATCTGAGTCTCCATATGCCTTGGTGACTCAACGACGTCGCCGAGGTCACGACATCGACAAGGCGTCCACCATCCCAACAATTTGGTGGACAAAGTGATACCTCAATCTTTAAACGGCTCGGACCATGTTGGCCGAGATCATTCTTCATAATCAAACAACGCATGCCATTTCAAGTTGGGTGCAACACGCAAAATCCATGATGGGCAGAATAAGACCTTGCTTGGACGCCAAAAGACATCAAACAACACCGTGTCCTTTTGTTTCTCACCTCGCACAACACAAAATTTACCTGTTGCCCCCTTGCCACAGCAAAGGACACCGTATCTAGGAAAAAGACACCGTCAAGTTGTTTTTCTCTCCTGAAAAGGCAAGTGGCAATAATGCGTGTCGTTTGGAAGACCAAACAATAGCTCATTAACTTAAGATGCATTTTGAGTTCTGTTACGTTCTTTGTTGCTGCAAAAGAACCGGTTCTCTGGCAAATTTCCATTTTGAGCACAAGATCCATGAAAAACACTCCCTTTGTGGTCTTAGGGATCTCTTTTGTATCATCTATTTCCCCGAAGAGCAAATCAACGGCTCGGATGGTCCATCCACCGGTTTTCACCGGCGTCGGAATGATTTCGGAGGAGACTAGTGCAATCAAATTTGATCAGGTGCATTCTTGATTTTATAAACCCACCCCATGACTGCAAACACCTCTTCATATGGGATTTTATCAATCAAGAGTCTATGGACCCCATGGTTTGAGCGGAAGGTCAAGGACACCATATAACTCAGCAAGTCTCTTCGTGGGATCGCCACTTTGCTTCTCCGCGTGCTTCTTTCCATTCCTCAGTGCGCTTTTCAACACAACGACTACACCTGGGAAGGCATGCAGCTCATTGTCATTTCTCTATAGCTGAAGGTTGGTATACACCTGAAAGCTCAAGCTCAACCAGACTGCCCGCATGGGTCACCAGACTGCCCGGCTGGCACGGTCTGAGAAGCGCCAGCCGAAGTCAGGGGTCCGGGACGCACCCGGGTGGACTCTCACAGGGCGTCACAGGGACCTCCAGTTCATGGTTGTTTTGACGAGCAAACACGTAAAAATAAGACCCAGACACAGACACGACTAATGGGACTGCCATAGGACTGCCGATCAGGCCAGGGTGGTTTTGGGGGTCAATGTAGGCATATATGGCAGTCCCATGGAGTGTCTGGGAGAGGAGCCATTCAGTACGTGTTGCATCTCATCACTTCCCATTGGGACACCCCCTCGGTCTGAGGCCCAGGGGCGTCATGGAGCTCTTGAGGCTGGCAGCCGTGCACACGCCGGAGCCTCGGACGAGCACACACGAGCACACACACACACACACCACCGGCGAAGTAAGCGGGGAACACGACCGAAGCGGGGGGCATCGGCTCCAAAACCAAAAGCAGTCGACTCAGCAGCCTTTTTTGTCTGTCAAAGCTCATCTTTAGTGCTACGTTGGCGGCTTGCGCCCATATGTTCTTTGTCTTGGCGAATGAATAGCGCTCTGGCCATGGCACATGCAGATTCCAGGCTCGGCGGTAGAGCCAAAGACATCACCCCACCTCGAAGCATTGCGAGGACATGCGAGGACCCAAGAGATCCCAATCGGGCTAGGGGCTGATGCTGATGGTGGAGGTTGTAGGTCGCTTGGTGGAGGGGCATGTTGGGCATGTTGTTCAATTTGTTCTGCAGTACTGCGGGTTGGTTTTGGGGCATACACTTCGCCCACATATACCCTCACTACGAAAAGAAGGTGCGGGTCCTAAACAGCCTCAATTGATGTGAGTACAATTTTATCTTGGTCCTTCATGCTTCCAAATTCCAACTAATTAATTGGTGAAATGACCATCAGCATTTGTGAGCTGTTGGAAGCTGGGTTACTCGGGTGTCACCCAACATGACACCCGGAGCACTTGGACTGTAGCTGCAGTCACTGTAGTCATTCTCACAAGGAAGACCGACCACTGAGCATGCGCCATCAACCAACAGATTTTATCCTACTACGATCTTTTCGGTGGTTTTGTGAAAGTCTGATGCCCTAGTGCAGTGTTGTGTGCATGATGAGTCATCTGTTGGTGATCTCTGGTGGTTTCCATGGACAGGTGGTGGTGCTGAGAATGAGACTAAATCGCTACACTTTGATCGAATCTAGGAATCTATAATCTAGTCAGACTCAGACATTTGAGTAAGAACCATACCTTATGAATCCATATTAATTAATTACATATATTCTCAATCTCCAAAATAAATACCCCAGTACGTAGTACATATAGGTCTCAATATTATTACCATCTCAACAGTCTCGGCTTGAGGTTTCGTGAGATACAGGTTGCTTCCTTCCTTCCTTCCTTCCTCCAATGACACGCTCTTGAATCGAGATCCCTTGCGCACGGATCTCACGAAGTTAGAGACGCGTCACTTTGAGTTCTCAGGGCATGAAATCCACAAATTGTCCAAGGACTTCTAACTTCTGTTCTTTTATGTCCTTTGCAATGGCGATGGCCTCATCGAGTGACTTACCTGGCAACTGGATGAGGGAGTATCAAGGTCTTTGCGCTTCTTGACTGTGCGTGGGGAAATGAACATCCCCGATCCCCGATATCCCTGATCGCTTCAGACTTCACGATTGCATAATTTTGCATCATATTGCTCTTGTCTGTCCTTTAATCATCTTTAATCCGTGCACATCAGTTGCATCATCATTATTGACGTTCCATCTTTGGTTATTATAGTCATAGGCCAACATCAGCCATGTTTCAGTGACCATTTGCTTGTAATTTGTTTCATTTACAGACTATATATAATAATAGAACGTACACGGAGTCCAAAGGTCTGACTGGACTTCACACGAATGGTTGACAAGGACACGGTCCCTATTGATTGCGAACAATGGCAACAGGCAGGACGTCGACTTAATCAAGACAGGCTTGTCTTCAGTAGGTGGGGCACTCTCATGGGCACCCCAAATTCAGCAGCTTAGCAAACGCCAAGAATGGAGACTTCTTCTCATTTTTTCCGGTGATTGCGATGGGAAAGCTTCCTGTCAATGGCTGGGTGCTCAACACCGACAATGCCAACGGGTCGAATCTGATCTGTCTGACAGGGAGACACTTGGCAGCTTGCAAAGCTGGAGATGTAAATTCGTCAACAAATGGTCAAGGGATGTGATTTGTGTCAACATTTTAGAATCGTCATTGTGGGGGGCAGGCTGAAAATATGTACAGGTGATGCCAGTGTTTGGTGGATGTCCAAGTGATGCCAGTGTCTGCTTTCCTTCAACGAATCCCTCTGAACTGAGCAGCTGGGAGTTGCCTTAGTTACAATATTTGAGGCTCTTTGTCAGGGAAGTTGAAGGTCGTGTGATCAAAGGTCTGTAACCGACCTGACTTGTATTATAACAATATATATATATATCAATATAAACATCCATGAATGCACATGTGGCAAAGTGGAGATACCTTTCTCGTTCTTGTCACATGTCCACCCCACAACCCCTCCGCCCACTTACTTTCTTCCTCCAGGGGGGCTAATGGGCAACAAACCTTCTTCTTCCTTGTCCAGTTCCTCGAAACCCATTCGGAGGTAAAACCTGGCCGCGAGGCAAAGCTTCACCGGATCCCCAAGGGTGTTCCTTTGGTGGATCCCAACCGAGGCGGAACCCATCGGGTTGGGTTTGGCGTCTGCTGAGCGTCTGGGGTGTCTATTAAGATTCTGGAAGAGCTTGTGTTGCACGAGTCATTTAACTGTGCCAGTGGCTTACCAAGCCTCAAAATTGGAAGATGTTGGAACTTGGAACGGTGTACTACGTGGAACTTCACCTCCCCAGCTTTTAGAATCTTTTAGATAAAACACTGTTTACATTTGCTAGGTTTCATAGAAGTTAAGCTTACCCTTGTGACCTTGGGCTGGATTTGCCTAACATCAGGGAACACTTTGATAGAACACATTTGAGCAGCGACCACGCACAGCGACCCCGCTGTGCGACTCTCAGACTCGTGGCCGCCCTGGGCGGATCGAACTGGTAGGTGGCCGAGTTGCTTCAAAAGCTCTTCCTCTGCCTACGCAGGACGTGACCGATGATGACGCGGGATGGTGTCGAAGGAAAAAGAACCATTCGCGAGTCATGCACCACGGTGGCGAGTTGGTGTCGATCACGAGTAGTTGAAGACTGAGTGATTAAAAGTTGAGGTATGCTGGGGGAGTATCGATATTCTGCAGAGTTCCCCGTTCCCCGACTGCTGGCTAGCTGTTTAATGCACGAAAAAAAGAACGTCGTGCGGCGTGCACCCATCAAAGCCGTTGTTCTATTGTTCCGAGACCAGAACATTTGGGGATGTTTTGGGGAAGCAACTGTCCGATAATGATAATATAATGCGTGTTCCAGGATTTGCCCCAGTTGTACAGTACCTCCACGATACAAAAGGCTATCTGCGCCCATCAAGTCCCATCACGGAGTGCCAGCAACTGTAAGTGTAAAGTAATGTCTTGTGGGATCGTGCAAGCAGCTCTTCAACTGTGATAAAACATGAAAGAACTTGGAAAGTCTGTGGGACCTGGGAAGGCTCTGTTCGATTCCAACAGTGCCCGCCTGAAAAACAACAAACACTGACGGAAGAAAAGGCCTCGAGCATCTCCTTGGTGTTGATGACTGGAGGCACCTGGCTGGAACCCTCCAAACGTGCTCCAAGATCTCTTTGAATTCAATGGCTTCGGGCCGCTTAAGGGGTTGGGGAACTCCCTGCAGCTTCGAAAGGCTCCCTACTTAACGGGAAACTCCCTGTAGCCAGGCGCATTTCGAACATACCTCATTCATGGCATACACAAACAGTTAATGTGTATATATAAATTATATATATGTACTGTTAATAATAAGATTCAATAAACCATATGTATTCAAACAGTTGATATGTCATGATATGTCCTGCTGCAGATTTTGCCATTGGGCATCCGGCATGTGTTTCATCCCTTCGTGACTTTGGGGCTGGCCTGGGTAGACTCACCTGAGAAAGCCAAAAACAGAACAAACTGCACTGGCCTTGAAGCCAAAGTCATGCGGGATGAGGGTGTAGTATGCTGAAGACAATTCCTGCATCAGTCGGGTGCAAGGTCTATCGCATCAGGCTCTGCAGGTGAGCAACAATTGTAACAACAACCCCACCCCAATGCCCCAACTGCATCCCCCCCAGGTTGCGCGGAGCCGCCGTTGTTGCATCGTCCTTTTCGGTCGTGGTCATGCTGGCGGGCTCAACGATGGGGGAACACCTGATTTATGTTTGCAGAAGCTAAACCCAAATATAAGTTTTCTTTTTCACATCTAGCTCCTAGAGGAGACCTGAATTGCCTAACGTGCAAATTTCCGGAAATGACATGAAATGACACCCTGGCGGCTGGTCCGTCAACTGCGCGGCGTTCTTCTTTGTCAAGGCTGTCTCCATCTTCTGAAGGACTTCCTGGCATGATTCAATTTGGAAATGTTCATCAATTTTCAAGCAGCGCTTGATCTGGCGCATCCGCAGTTGAGTCAGGGATCTCCAAACTGTTCAAGTCTGCAGCTTGACATGTTCAGCGCTGCTTACTATCCTGAAGGCACCAACCAACAGTGTTTAACATATATATATATATGTTTGTTTTGTCGTGTCATGTTGTTTCTTTACTATGCTGTGGCTAAAAAATAGTCATTCGCTCGTCGCTCCCGCCCACCAACTCAGTGAGGCTGGGTGGTAAAGTGGTTTGAGTCTTTAAGATCAAACGACTATTGCTTGGCCCAGACCAAGCAATAGCTAACCGTGCTTCAACCTGAGACGAAATTCCTGCACACAACCAACATCTGGTCATCCCCCACATGGATGTGGCAAAATCCACCTGCCATCCCAACATTGAAAAAAAATAACGACTTAAGACTTGGGCGCTGTTTCCCGAAATCTGAGGCTTTTCAGGAATTTCCGCTGCTGGACCTCGCCGACCAAACGCGCGGTCCAACACCGGTGTCCACCTGCCCCTTCTCGATCTGCTGCTCCGTCAGCTTCCCCAACGGCGCAGAGTCGCCACCGCCGCCCTCCTGAGTGTCTCGGCGTCATGGGCAAGAAAAGCAATGCGGGGCGTCAATCCCAGAATCTTCACCAAAAGTGATCCATGTATGGATAGCTTGTGTACGAAATGTGCGGCAAACACCAAGACAAAGTCGAAAAGCGAAACGTTGAGAATGTCACAGCACTGGCGAAAAAGGAGCTCAGCAAAAGCCTGCTGTCCACCGCAATGGGGTGACCACAGGCCCATGCACTTATGTTTGCACCTTGAGTTGGCCATCTTTTGAGTCGGAACACGTGTTATTCAGCAAAGAGGTCAGCTTGGAGGTGCTGGCACAAATAGTATTCATATGTATGTATTAATTGTTTGCAGAGTGCCACCAGGGACCAGTTCCAGGTATATACACATGATATATAGTGTTAAAGGACGTCCAAAACAGAACTGAGAAAAAACGTTAAAATATGTCAAGATCTAAGATATGTGTTTGATTGTTTTTGTTTTACCATGCATGCAGGCACACTCACACAAAAAGGGAATTGCAACAGAAGTAGCACCAGCATGTGTGTGTGCAGTTCAGCCATGAATACAGAATGCAGTAAATCGTTCACTGGTTGACATTTGTCAGGGATTTGAAGGCAAACGATCTTTTCCAACTGTAGCTCACTCGGATGTCCGTGATGAGCCATCTCATTTGCTGATTTTCTCCAAGTCCAACGGTATCCTACAGTCGAAGACAATCCTCTGGAACCGTCGAATGATGTCGAATGTGAGCGTGATTTACTGGTGATGTGTGGAACATCTTCAAATCGAGTCATCTCGTAGCTACCACAGAATTGCTGTGCCTTATCGGCCAACATCTTCTGTCCCCAAACATGCCTCACCCCGGCGCTCTCACCGTGCTCTCGCACCCGGCGCCTGCTCCTCTGTGTTCACAATAGTGTACTTGCCCACAGTAGGCTTCCAGTCATGGGAATCCTTCATATCCTGAAACGACATGCCACTGTGAGGGTAGGCATCCGCGTACAGGTCAACAGGTGGATCTAGGGCATGCTCCATAGTTTCACCTATCTGGAATCGCACCAAAAAATGAAGAACCCCGATACATTATTATTATCCTAAGATATCCTAAGGATATCCCAGAGTTTGGCTGCACGCATTTCCAAAAACGATGTCAAATAACCAGGATTATACTGATGGCTGTTCAGGTTGTGTGTACCGATGGCATTCGAGACAAACGCTCCAAAGAGTCAAATGAGGGCTTTCGAGCAAGAAGGGGTTGCTGGTAGAAGTAAGCCATGGCGCTTTAGGAGGACACCATTGGCCCAGGGGCCGCACAGGGGGTCAAAACCATGAAGCCGCACGACGTCTTTGTAGAGTTCGTCGGAGTGGGGAGAAATCACTGTGGTGGGCTTTGCCATCCAACAGAACCGGCCGAGCTGCGTAGTGCACACCGGACTTGTCCTTGAACTTGGCCTCCGCTGTTTTTTTCCACATCCGCCCATTCCGCCCATGTTTCGAAGTCCAGGCACTGGTGTGATGAACAAGTGGTTGCACGTCCGTGGTCAATGCGGGAGTTACAGTAGCTCAAGCGACGAGACAGTCAGTGGTCTGGTGATGTCTGGTGAGACCTGAAAGCAATCAAGACTTCTTTTGTAGAATGCACACATCATCTCCGGTCCCCAAATCCATGTTTTCACCAGCACTTTCAAGTAGGCACGGTCTTATCACTTAGAATGACTGCAGGCAATAACACAAAAAAAGGGATCAAGGGAGTTCAGTGTCTCCACACACCGAAGTTCTTTCCAATCCGTGAGGGACGTCACCACGAGCCGGTTCGAAGGCTTTCGAAGGTTCGAACAGGTCGAGCCACCTCGCTTTAAGGACCAGGTCGGCCTAAAAGAAATCCATGACCCACCTGCGAGGTGATGTGGAAGAACAATGAATACTGTCTGTCGGGGCGTCTTTTTGTTTTGAATGATCCATTTCAAGACACATGAGGGCCGAAACACAAATGGTTATGTAATCCGAACCGGACCCAGAAACAAGTGCAACACAACAACATGACCTTCACTGAAGCCGGGGCTTCAAGGTCCTTTAACCCACCCACCAAAACCTGGACTCCATGTACAAAGACATCTTCCTGCGCAAAGGACTGGATATCATCCACCTCGATTCTCTGTAGGATCTGCTTGTCAGTGGTGGACAAACGTCCGTCCCTCCAGGGTTGGCTCCGAACGTCCGCCCCTCCACGTGGCTCCCCACGAGCCGCGGCTGGCCTTGAAGGTGCTTTCTCCATTGGCCTCCCCCAATTTGGCGGGAAGCTTTCCGAGTGACTGAGGGAAGTGATATGGTCCAAAGGTTCTTCTGACAGATTCAAGGGTCAACATAATAAAGCATTCCTGAATGCTGGGCTGACTTCCCTCAACAAGAAGGGAAACAGGAAGATGGATTAGAATACAGGGTTTGACCAACTGATTTACAAAACCTCCACACAGCAGCGAATTGAGCACATGTCGCAGTTCAATCCTTGCACCGAGAATCCCACAAGACTCTAGTTTCAGTTTGCTTTAACGATGATGATACCGTATATATATACCTACAATCCAAAGTTAAACAAAAACCAGAACTCCCGGTCCTCCGACCGTGTCTCCCTCGTTTTTGAGTCACCGCCCATCCGTTTTCGCAGAGCGCCTGGTTTCCACAGAGCGCCAAGTTGGATTGACCCGCGACGCCCACACGGCCCCAGCGCGTGAAGCAGTAGATCTGCGTGGCGCACGCGGCGAAGCGGAAGGAACGACGAAACGGGGAGTGCATGCGGTGCGAAGGGTTTCACTCGTGGCACTACACTCGTGGCCAAGCAGAGTCAACCAAGCATCTCTTGCAGAACGCATGCAAGACTCAACTATGTGTTCAATGATTCAATGACTATAACTAGCGAATTCTACGAACTCAAGATGGCATCCCAAAAGAGTCAAGGGAACTCTTGCCCATGGTTTCAGCGGGTTATTGAGTTGGGGTGACAGTGAACTCTCCCACTGACAGACAGCACCGTGGACCACGTTCATTTTGGGGGAAGTTTGGGGCCGCTGTCTTTGGAGGAAGGTTCTTTCTGCGGATCACATACTGTAACTGATCTATGATACTTCCAACATCTTCCAAATATTAGAGATGCTTGGGACTTAAACATCAATAGGTTCTGAGTCGAATGCGTGCAATTGGTATCGCTGTTGGTTCCTGCTATCCAGGAGGTTCTCAGTCTGGTAGACTGTGGATGACCAAGGTGTTTTTGACAAGTGGCCCACGAGGTGAACCCGGCATTGCCGGTCAACCAGTACCAGTGCCCATGCATGTGAGCGAATTTATATAAAATGGCACACCCACCGGCTCTTCTTCAAACCCGCACTAACCCGCAAGAGATCTATATGAGATCTATCCAGCTATATAAACGAGGGTCGCATATGTGTGTTTGCGATTTTCGAACGGCACTACGACCAGGGAAGCGGGGGAGAGAAAATCCACTCCCCTCCGGAGGGAACCCCCCCAACGGTGTGTCCGGAAAGAACTCCCTGGGAGAAAAACCATGTCAAAATTAATGCATCAAGTGTTTGGAAGGTCGACAAGACGCTCGAACAGTGAAACCAGCCTTATCATGCTCATCTTTAAGGAGCTGTATCCTGCGGCAATCTGCGGCATGCAGAAATCCATTCTTTAGTGTCTGGTGAATTAAATTGCGATACTTGATGTCTATAAGTTGATTTCTTGTGGGCTATATACCAAAATAATCTGAAATAAATACAATAATAGAAGATCAGGGGCCTCGTTTTGCATGGCGGACTTTCAACATTGGGACACATCCCCCAAAAAAAAACATTCGCAGGGTGAGGTCAGAATGTTTGCAATTGCCTTTCACTTGAGCACTCGTGTTGCCCGTCTCTTTATTTTGCTGTATTTTTTTTGTTGTATTCATATACTGTATAAAATACGTTACAATAAATAGAATATAATAAAACAAATATTACATAATCAAAAAACATACTCTCTTACTGCTCTTACCTTACAACAAACATGATACCCGAACATGACTTCTTGCGGAGGGTTGATGTTGGGGAAATTGAGCGTAAGTGCCGTAAGTGTTGTCACGAAACTGAGCGTAAGTGCTGTAAGTGTTGTCACATGTGACCTGTACCAAAACACAATAGTTGGTGATACATATCGATTCCCCAGTTAACCAGCCGCAGGTGAGAATAATGCCACTAATGCCCGATCCTCTCGCATGCTGCGAAGAACGATCCTCTCCTGTAGAACTTGTTGTTGTTATTCCCGACATTGGTCTGGTTGAGGAGAACCGACCTCAATTACCCAATGAGCTCGGACTCGTTTTTTTCATGTGGCATCCATCAAATGCGAGACAAGACAGCGTGTTCAATCATGTCCGAGTAGACTTTTAGCAGCATCCTTCGAACAACCAGGCCGAGGCACCAGTCATCCACCACACTATACTTATCCCGGTTGGGAACTTCAACATCCACCGGTCGAGGCGTCTTCGCCTGCCAAGCTCTACTGCCTTTCCACATCGACGGTGTGATGAATGGTCCCCAGTGGTTCTTCACTGTGTGGGGCTTCGCGGTTTGTGAAGTCCGAGAACAAAAACAAAACTGTCCACGTCTGTCTGTCTGTTCACGTCCTAAAAGGATACGGATCCAACGCATCCCCCCGTGATCCAGCTGCCAAATCCAGGTCATGTGGATGATTCTCTGGAGATGTGACCACTTCATCGACCGCTTCCAGGGCCAGCTCTGCGACGTTGGTTCAGGGCACTGGACACATGTTCAATAACCAAGCTGTTTGCGAATATAATATATATATATATATCGCTCGTTTTACCAAATTAGAACAATACTCACACATGAATGTTTCAAAGCTTTGCCATTCATGTGACATCATGGTGGCATTGTCTAAAAAGGAACCCCAGCCATGCCTCTAGTAGAATCCAGTCAGTATATTATATATATACCTATATCTTGGGTCTATCCTATTACCTGTAACAGTGGATGATGATGGTTAGTAAAGGTCTTGTTTAAACATGATGATCCTTGTTTACTGACTGTTACAGGTAATAGGACAGACCCAACATATATCTGTGATTCAGTGACTTCAGCCATTGATGCATCTCCGCCCTTGGATTAGATCCATCAAACCAACTTACCAATGTTGGTAAAAATCCAAACATCTCGACGAACAGCCAAATCGAGTCGGAACCTTTATGGTACCGGTTTTTTGGTAGCCCCTTGCGTCTAGGCAAGAAGCTACTAGTAACAGGGCATCGCAACTAGTAACAAGAAGCTACTAGTAGCTCCTGGCATTATTACTAGGAACAAGAAGCTACTAGGGGCTCCTGGCCTTGCTACTACTAGGAGCAAGGACGCTACTAGGGGCTACTAGGTGGAGACAATCGCTAACAAAAAGCTACTAGATTGGACACCATCGCTATTGGATCAGGGGCGATTTCGCTCCAGGCTCCAGGGATCTCCCCCCACGGATTCACACGCCTTCTTGGCCGGCGACGGCGTGGCGGCCGAGGCCGCGGCTTTGGCCTGGCGTCCGATCCACAAAACACCATGGCTTATCCCGCCACCCGAACGGAGGGATACCACCGAGGGTAGAAGATGAACTAGAAAACGAGTCAAAGGAAACTGCAACCCATGGAATTCCATGGGTTACCCCCATGGAAATCTGGGAGGGGAAAAGAGGGGGGATCAGGGCTTCAAAACCTTGACTATGGCAGGACTATGGCATTCTCCAGGCCTGAGCCAACAAGCTGAGTGTGGCACCTTCCATCTTGAACCACCGATGCTTTCGGAGTTTGGCTGTGGACTCACTGCCATATCTAGCACGTGGGCATGGAGTCTCCGAAGCTCTACCAAGATTTAGAGCAATGTTTTTGTGGTGTTTTTGTTGTTTTGCCAAAAACTCGTTGATGTGTATTGAGAACTCCAGTAACCTCCTGTTGAAAAAAACTAGCTGGGATATAGGGGTACCATGAGGCATACCCAAAAGGTACACACGACGCTTGCAACCCAGCCTTGGGTTCCGGTTCCGCCTTTCGCTTGGTTCCCTGCGAGCAAACAAAGCACCGCTCTTGGGGAAACAAAGCAAGAAGGCAAGAGTTGCTTACAGGATTTAGAAACAACCATAGGCATCAATAGATGATGTCTAATCGTTCAACAAACCGGATCTATCCATTGTCCTACCCTACCAATCCTGCAACAAACATCGCTGTTCTTGAACATATGGCCCTGAGAAAGGTCTAGTCTTCCTGCGTCTACTATCCAAAATGACATGTTTCTTGTGTGCGATGGTATAATATAGAGGTGGAACACTAAATGGCGCAATCACTGGTGCAATCATTGTTGAACAAACTGAGGATCACGCTGCTGCACCTTTTCGACTAGCTGCAACCAATGGCCAACAACTGCAAAAAAAACAAGAGACTCCGCCACCTACTCTACTCATCAGTCTCCACTTGGCAGAATGGGACCTTCTTTTCTTCTTCTTTTGGAGGTTCTTCAGCTTCCTCCTCGTCTTCAGCCTGCAACTTCTGCAGGAACTTCTGTTTGGTACAACCCAGATTCCTGTTAACTGCATTGGTTAATAAATGTCCTGAAGGCGGTGGCTGATGTTGACCCTTGATAGCATAAACGGGGGGCACACTTTAACAACACATTAGGATCATTCAGAATGTATTATTATGAACTTATCTCATTGAAAAGTGCCTCCCACGTCCTTTGCAAATGTAACCAAATCGAAACACACAGTTGCAAGCATAATGAAAGTGAAGATGTTCCATCAACTCTCGATGTGGGGTCCACTGGAACCAAGAAATAACCTCCATAAGCCCCCCTAACCTTGATCAGAATGAAGAAACTCCGTCAAAACAGTCCAGTCATTGCGTTCGTCCCCACAAGGCTCATCCAAAGAGTCATGGTCAGTATCTTTCCTGAGGGGTTCCACAGGCATATCCCTCCAAGAAGGAGGGCAACGAGTCAATGATTCAGACTTTGTATCTACGTGGACGTAAACTACATGAGCAACGTAACAATCAATAAACATCTATGGTGATAGTTGTGATAGGCTCTTGCCGGGGGAATGGGGCCTTTCTTGCCCTTTACAGTGTAAAGGAAGCTGGGGAGGCCACACCAGTCTGGGGGACCAGGGCCTAGCAGTGTCTGAAGGCCCTCAGGTCTTAAAAACTTCGGTTTGCATCTCGACGACTCTGTGCCTCCTCTTCTGCCTCTTCATCTTCCCCTTCCTCCTCACGCGAGGAGCTGAAGGAGTCCACCGTAATGAAATGAACACGCATATTCTGCACATATTAGACAATGTTGCCACCTACCCTATTGTTGTGGTCAAAGGGGCATCCTCCTTTCTTCCGTGGGTGTTTGTTCACGTCTTCAAAAAAATGGTGCGCCAAAAAGCTCGTGGCAGTCCCGCGCGTTTTGCAGTCCAGCGTCACAAGGACCCACTCTTTAGAGTTGAATCGTGCTTTGCAAACGACTAGGCCCTTTGCAAACGACTGAAGGACAGTCTTTCGCTCTGCAGCTGCATGTGCTTTGTGTCCGCGACTGGAAGTGGTGGTTGTTCCCCAGTGACCCCACTGTGGTGCACAAAGAAGCAAGAGAACCGCCGTCCAGTGACGTAGGGTGACCGAATCCATGGTGTCTGTTGTGCAACGGCAGTGCAGCTGGTGCTGGTGCCTGTTGTGTCTCTAAGAACCGTGAAAAGGAATCAAGCAAAACACTCACCCAGACGCTCCATGGGACTGCCATATATGCCGATCAGTTGGAGTGATTTTAGGGGTCAATGTATGTAAATATGCCATACATGGAGTGTCTGGGTCATAGAACATTGATTGTGTTGGAAAAAGTGTTGTTGCGACTCCTGCGAATCTGCCATGTCAATGCCTGTGTAGAATCTGCTCGTGGTGTGGCAGGTCCGAGCAACCACCTGGTGGGGCAGGAAATCAAGTTCTTGATCATTCGCTTCGCCCTTTTTTGCCCGTTAAATGCCTGGTGTGCATGAAATCCCAAGGGCTTGCTGGCAAGGACCGCTCCTCCTCAAAGGCTGCCTTGGCATCCTCTGCCGCCACCTCCAGCGGAGTTTGTCCCTCCTGACCAGAGATGAAGCCCACGAATAGGCCACCTTTGCGACTTGGTTTACCATGGTTTACCCAGGTGAATCCGAAATGGAAAAGCTACGCTTTACAGCAGGTTTCCACATGATGGGACTGATGGGACCACATGTAGCCATTTGTATACATCTGTTCTGCGGGTGGTTGGTGCCCAAGAGGTCTCAATTGCTAACCCCCAGAGTCAGGTCTTGATACAAGTCAAACAAATATGAGTCACAACGCTCCACAGAAAGAAGCCGCCTTGTTCTTGGCATCGCGATCCGCGCCCATCTCCAGCAGGTACCTGAGAAGCACCACGGGAGCCCTGAAAACGTCGCAGAAATGGCCAGAGAACTGTCTTGCGCTGACTCAAGAAGCACCGACTGGCGTGAGGATTGGGTTTGGCATATTTGATTGACTCGGCTGGAGAAGATCTAAACCTCCTTGTTCTTTTTTTTCTACACAGGCCTACTTCTTGTGAAGATCCATATCCCAAAACAGGCTTGCAACTTACAATAGTCGGAGTATGCAATTGGCCCCACACATTATGCTTCATCATTCCAATTACTCCTGAAACAAGTTTCCCCCGGCACCGGACAGCGTCTGCATCTCCGTTCTCTGCGAACTGGTGCAGGGCTGACCTGACATGGGCGCTTCAGTGGAGCATAAATGGCAAACATGAAAATGATCAGAAGCGACAACTGAATCTTTGAGACATTTGTACTCTATATTTGTGTTTTTGATATGTTGTCTGGAACATTGTTACTGTTGTTGATTTCCTGTCTGGATATGTCTGGGTCTATATCTACTTATCTATATATGTAGTTATAGTTTGAGTATGTAGACAGTAGACATATGGTTTCCATCAGTCCTCCAAGCGAAGAGTGGTTGGCCAAATGCCCTTCTGTAAACTGACATGGGTTTGTAAAGGTAAGTCTAAGCCAGTCATTCCTTTTCAAGCTGATGATGGTTGTAGGGGTGCACACACACACTCACATAACAAAATGGTGTCCATTGCCTTCAACATGTCTCAGGTCACATCTGCCTCCACCTGGTCTCCAAGTCATGGAGGGTTCTGGGCGCCATCTTGCATCTGCTTACGGATAACTACCTCCTGGTGAAGGAACATCACGAGCAACATCATTGAATTTCAGGCCTCACCCGTACGAGTTCACTCCCGAGTTCCTGATCTGGAAGATTGATGTCCGGTAGCTGAGCAGTTTACACATAGTGATGGCTCATTTTTTTCTCTACTTCCAATGAAGGTGCCACGCGGCGCACAAGGTGTGAGAACTTCTGACCCACATCACTTCACAACTAACACACACAGACAAATAAAAACACATCATAGCATTGGGAATTGGGAAACTTAAAACCTGTTCTTGTTTCAGAACTGGGTAATTAATTATATAGATATTTTAAATGTTCAGTCTTTGCTATCGTTGTTGTTAAAGTTGACAGCTGTCCACCTGTAGAGATGTCTTGGGTCCATTTCGCGGAATGTTTGGCGGATTGGCACGCACCGCGGCAACCAGGCTAGCCAAGTAGCCAGCGCCCAGCAGGTTGAACGTTGACAAGCTCAGGGGTCTCCTCCAACATCGCCTCTCAATTTTGAATCATTAGGATGGGTCGGATGGGCGAAATGCGGGCGCATCTTGAAGAGAAATCACACATTTGAGTGACGATAAGGGCTCCTGTTTGGAAAACTGAAGAAAAAGTAAACCCGAGATTGCTTCGAGGACCATCACAGGTTACACAGAGTCAATGACGAATTGCGACCGTGTCTGCACCGCCTTAACGCCCTCCAAGTCATACTCTTTGGCCTGGCGAAACGATCTTGACCAGTGATAAGGCCGAGGAGTCTCTCCACAGGTCCACGAAGCTCCGACTCGGTGCCCCCCTGAGTGACATCACAGTTTTCTAGTAACAAGAAGCTACTAGGTCGGGGCCGTCGCTACTAGAAACAAGAAGCTACTAGGTGGAGACCATCGCTAACAAGAAGCTAGTAGGTGGAGGCCGTCGCTACTAGAAACGAAAAGCTATACTAGGTGGCATCGCTACTACTAACAAAAGGCTGCGGCTACTAGGTGGAGACAATCGCCAACAAGAAGCTATTAGGTCGAGGCCAATCGCTGCTAGTAACAAGAAGCTACTAGGTGGAGGCCATCGCTACTAGTAACAAGAAGCTACTAGGTGGAGGCCATCGCTACTA